TTTAACCCCAACTATGCCCTGTTTATCCCTGTCGCATCTGATCGTACTACGTTCCATCCAAATCGCCTTAGTGAGTCAACCAAGAGCATTTGATGTTCTTTAAGTTCATCGGACGAATCATTGGTAAAGCTCTATACGAAGGTCGTGTTCTTGATTGCCCATTTCAGCAGAGCCGTCTACAAGCGTATCCTTGGCAAATCCGTGTCTATCAAAGATATGGAGACTCTTGATCTTGATTATTACAAGTCTTTGCTCTGGATGTTGGAGAACGATATTACTGACATTCTTACTGAAAATTTCTCCGTCGAGTCTGACGATTTTGGCGAGAAGCAGACAATTGATTTGGTAGAAAATGGTCGGAATATCCCTGTGACTCAGGAGAACAAGGAAGAATATGTACAACGCGTGGTCGAATATCGCCTAGTTGGTTCCGTCAAAGATCAGTTGGACAATTTCCTGAAAGGTGAGACATTTCCACATTACAGGCACTTTTTTTCTATGTTGAACAGATAATAACATTTCTTTTCGTACAGGATTCCATGATATTATCCCAGCCGATCTTATTGCTATATTTAACGAACAAGAACTAGAGCTCTTGATTTCTGGACTTCCTGAAATTGATGTGGATGACTGGAAGAATAATTCTGAATACCATAATTACTCTGCGTCATCACCACAGATCCAATGGTTCTGGCGCGCGGTACGATCGTTTGACAAGGAAGAACGGGCCAAACTCCTCCAATTCGTTTCTGGTACTAGTAAAGTTCCCCTCAATGGCTTCAAAGAGCTTGAGGGCATGAATGGCTTCAGCAAATTCAACATTCATCGAGACTATGGGAATAAGGACAGACTGCCTAGTTCCCATACGTGTTTTAACCGTAAGTGCAATTCCGTCATTGACCACAAGTTTAACACGAAGATCCATTGGCTAACTTTCGATACAATAGAGCTCGACTTGCCTGAATATGACAGCTATGAAACCCTTCGACAGCGCCTTTACACAGCTATGACTGCGGGCAGTGAATATTTCGGTTTCGCGTAAAGGCAATGAAATTGTGTATTTGCTTCTGAATTCCTTTTCTCTTTTTTGTTTCCCCTTCTGCGCTGTTCTTTTTGTGATTTCCCTCCTGATTCGTTTCTGCACTTGTTTTTTTAAAATCCCCTAAATCACAAATTCCTTCTTCTTTTCCATCTCCATGACCTATACCTTTGTTTAGTCAAAGCATCTGGCGGCGCCCTCACCTTGATATTGCGTTTTATTCGGTTTTTTTCTGTTATTTTGCCTGATTCCAAAATGTACACTCGGAACTGCACGGGTATTCGATTTGTTGTATTGAACGGAAAGAACGGGATAGGGGAAGCTGTACTTTCAGTTTTTCTAGTTTTGTACCTCAGATGACGGGGACCGTATCTCAATTTCCTTTCTCTTGATATTTGTGCGCTTGGATTGCAGCAACAATGGCGAGAGAAGGTGACAAGCTGGAGTGCAGGCCAGCCGCCGTGCCCACCTTTCATTGTTGCTGGTAGCCCCTGAGCTCAATATACACCCTTTGCTACCCATGTATCTAGCTAGCTTAGCACTCCTAGAATTAAAAGTCGAGGTCTCTTCCATGTGCCAGTCGTCAGTTTGTCCTGTAGTTACCAAATCAAGCAATGCGGTGGCCAGTGCATGCCAAGACCTGTCAGCAAGGAAACAAAGTTTGGCAAAAATAAAACATCAATTGTTCGTTCTCCTTTCCACCATGTCTCGACGTCTAAGTCGGCGGACAGAACATTGATATCACGTATATATATGCGCCCTATTTGCCCAGGAGCTTGAAGCCCTCTCATTATGGCGACCAACTCCATCAAGCTCCTGACTGGTAATAGTCATCCTGAGCTTGCCCAGCTCGTTGCGGATAGGTATGTTCGTCCCCTTTTGTTATCCATACAACTGTAGTCTTTTTTTTTTTGTTTGTTTGTTTGTTTAAAAGGCATGTTTTGGTGAGGTTGGGAGAATGCTCGCCTTGCCCCCGTTTCTTGCTATTTTTGAATATGTGGCGTTTCTCTATATCCACTTTGACCTTGGGATGCTCCTACTCTTTTGAATGATTGGCGGCCAATTTCAACATCCCCTCACTGAGCCAGGAGAACTCGATGGCATTCTGTTTTATATGAAACGAGATGTTATGCTACTTTGCTCTTTGTTCCCCGCACAGCGCAAATGCCTTGAGGATAGCTGTCACTAAATCTCCCTTTTGCTGTTTAACTCTGTGCAATGGTGTAGATTTGCTTTAGGACCTTGGCTATATGGAATATCTTTTACTGACTGATTTCACGACGCGGTTCTGTGAGGGCTGCTACCCTCCGAGCCGCTACTTTCGTGGATACCCGCAGACTTGGTCTTGAATTGACCAGGGTTATGGTGCTGCAGTATTCGAATCAGGAGACTAGCGTGACGATTGGAGAGAGTGTGAGAGATGAAGACGGTATTTACCCCTTTTCCTCCCTTCAGGGGTTGCGTTTACAACTCCGTTGGATTTTTTTCTGCAGACGATAGTGTCCTTGATGAGAGGGAATACCTCTTCCCTTCCTTGTGAATTACTTGCAATATCGTGGAGAGCGAACTTGCGGCGAACTTGTGCATACTGACAAAAGTGATAGTATTTATTCTACAGTCCACCCGCCCAAATGATATTAACGACGGACTCATGGAACTCCTCATCATGATTAATGCTTGCAAGACTGCCTCCGCGAGACGCATCACTGCCGTGATACCCAATTTCCCCTACGCCCGTCAAGATAAAAAGGACAAAAGCCGCGCACCAATCACCGCAAAGCTCATGGCAAACATGCTTCAGACAGCAGGCTGTAATCACGTCATTACTATGGACCTTCATGCGAGTCAGATTCAAGGCTTCTTCAATGTGCCCGTAGACAACCTCTACGCCGAGCCAAGTATGCTGCGATGGATTCGACAAAATCTGGACGTTGCCAACTGCGTAATAGTATCCCCTGACGCCGGAGGGGCAAAGCGTGCCACCGCCATGGCTGACCGTCTCGATCTCCAATTCGCGCTCATCCACAAGGAACGTGCAAGGCCCAACGAGGTCTCACGCATGGTCCTAGTTGGCAACGTCAAGGATAAAATTGCCATAATCGTCGATGACATGGCTGACACCTGCGGCACGCTCGTGAAAGCAGCCAGCACGATCATGGATCATGGAGCCAAAGAGGTTGTTGCCATAGTCACACATGGTATCCTAAGTGGAAAAGCGATCGAGACGCTCAATAACAGCATACTTTCGCGTATTGTGGTCACGAACACTGTCCCGCATCAGGAGAAGAAGGAACAGTGTGATCGATTGGAGACCATTGATATAATGGCCGACACTTGCAGAGGCCTGTCGGAGAACGCACAAGTGGG